CCTCATTGTCCCAGCTAACAGGAAATTCAGAGTTCCCCAAGGTGAAGATTCTATCAATAGCATTGTCTCCCAGCAAGTGTTCTTTCAATTCTTCTACAAGAAATACAAATAAATGGCAACCTGTTAGGAGGAAAACACAGCACTACTTCTCATTTTAACAAGCCATCCACCTTAGAAAACATCTTTTCCAACAATGTCATTTTCCCATAGCAAAAGCTGTCCCTATGCAATCGGCCAGGCCACTCCTAGACTCTCCAAAGTAGAGCAGAGCTGAGTTTTGGGGAGAAACACCGGGTAAGGCCTTCTTCGTCTGGAATCCAGATCAAGCCTTGGTAGCACTCTAGTTTTCACTGTTTCTATGAGGGACACTGAGAGCCTTTAGTAGTTTCACAAGACACTTAAGATACTTTTTTAAGACAACCTACAGCCACGTACCCCTTATTTTGACCAAAAAAAAAAAAATCCTTTTTGCTAGCCGTGAGCTCAGTCACAACAGGGTCAAAAAAGACATTCAGGTGAGTGACATAAACAGTGAAAGGAACAAGAGGCACATCCCACGAGCCCATAACTGTAAATCTGATTGGCACTTATTCTAGTAGATGACCTGACCAAGCTATTTAAGCCATTTTTGTAACAAGCCACAAACTGAAAGAAGAAAGAGCCTAAATCAAATAGTACTACCATAAGAAGCATTATAAAAATCCGAATTAATGGGTCGGATACAGTGGCTCACGCCTGTAATCCCAGCACTTTGGGAGGTCAAGGCAGGTGCATCACTTGAGCCCAAGGAGTTTGAAGCCAACCTGGGCAACGTGGCAAAACCCCATCTCTACAGAAAATACAAAAATCAGCCAGATGTGGTGGCACATGCCTGTAGTCCCAGCTACTCAAGAGGCTGAGGTGGGTGGATGACTTGAACCCAGGAGGTGGAGACTGCAGTAAGCTGTGATCACACTACCGCACTCCAGCCTGGGCAACAGAGTGAGACCCTGCCTCAAAAAAAGAAAAAAAATCTTAGTTAATGAAAAACATGCCCAGCTCTCTCACTTGTCAGGAATTTAAATAGGAATTACAAATAAACACAAGTGAACATCTCAATTATCTTCAAATATCTTTAAGAAGAGGAAAGAATTCAGCAATTGCTCTTAGCGTTTTATCTCCCGGCACATTATCTCCGAAACCAAAACATGCCGATCCTATTCATGCTCAAGAAATAGACCCATGCTTCTTATGTGATTAGGAGACAGTGTCTCTTTCAGAGCAAAATGCCCCACAGCTGTCACTATTTACCATTCAAACTGAAGAACTACGGCTGCCAGCAAACCAAACTTTTATTAGTATTAGAGCCATTCAAAGATCCAGCAATTGTCTTGACAGGACAGAGTGTCTATGACTAGAGAGAAACTGAAGAGAATCAACAGACCTAAAAGGATTCAAGCAGTTTTAAGAAAACAGGTTATCTAATGCTCAAAAAAGAAGTTGATTCAGTTGTATTCCTTAGTAAAGATCAGGATAAAATTCAGCATTTTCAGTTCTGAGTCTTTATTTTATATTCTTTGTATTCAACAAGGAAGTTCTGTTTTTTAAGCCTTCTAGTGGTTGAAGGTTCTTTTCAGCAGCCCCCCAATATGAAGATTACCGTTTCCCTCCTTCACCTCCTTTCTCAACCTGCCCAAGCTGCACTCTGCAATGATGGAAGCTGCAGGCGTGCGGGAGAGCTTTCTCTCTGCTACTTTTTAAAAGTGAAACTGGACTCATTTCACATTCCTGGAGAAATAAAGCCTACAAAAGGGGACTAAGATAAAATGTAGCATGTGGCCTGCCTGGAACACAGGAGCTGACTGGGAGCTTCTGCAGCAGCAGAGGGTGGGCAAGTTAACCCTGCACCTCATGCTGGCCCACCATGGCGTGTGCTCACCCCGGACAGCACACAGCCCAGCGCCCTCCACCCTCCTCCCGGCTCCTGCTCAAGCTCCTCCCTCTGCTAAACCTCTTCAGTCACACCCCTTCCCTCCTGCTCTACCTTGCCCTTACTTACCTTCACTGAGCTCCAGGGTTTAACTCAAATGCCATTTCCTCCAGACCCCTAGAGCATTAATACTTTAGTCCATGCACTGTGTTATCTGTGAACCAGCAGGAACAATGTGGGATGTCCTGTGCATGGGTTCTGGAGTTAATAGAGCTGGGTTCTAAGTCAGGGTCATTGCTTGCTGAGCAACCTTGGCCAAGTTACTTATCCTCTTTGGGTTTTTCTCTTTTTTTTTTTTTTTTAAGACAGTCTTGATCTGTTGCCCAGGCTGGGGTGCAGTGGCAAGATCATGGCTCACTGTAGCCTTCACCTCCCAGGCTCAAACAAGCCTCCAACCTCGGCATTCCAAGTAGCTGGGACTACAGGATTGTGCTACCACGCCCAGCTAAGACTTATCCTCTTTGAACTGAAGTCTCTACATCAGTAAGATGGGAGCACTTACCAATCAAGGCTAATGGGACTAAAATTAAGCACATACCACATTTAGCATCATACCTGGCACACAGTGAATGCTTCACAAATTTTAGGAATATCATCACTATCAGCTCTCTTAATTATAAATTCCTTCAGGATATGAAGACAACATTTATATCCATATATATGCAAGAAAAGCTCACAGTTAACCCCTTAACTCATGTTCATTAAATTGAATTGATGAATCATTACCAAAGTACAAAAATCACCAAAAGCTCCCACTTGAATGACTGTAAATCTAGGTGACAGGGTTGCTTCTAAGGAGCAATTACTGTATCTCACTTTGGGTTCTGCAGTTGGTGTGTGAAGTGCCTCTCTATGTTTTGAGACTATGTTTCTTCTGCCTCCAGTATGGAGTCAAGCCTGGACTTGTGCAGCACTGTGCCCTCGATCCAGACATTAAGCCCAAAGCCAGTGACAGCTGGGCAAAGCGGCTTCCCCTCCACGGACCACGGCTGCTTCCTCTGACCGAAGAAGTCTTTAGGCAGCTTCCTCCCAGAAGACTTCTGCATCTATTCACTCAGTCAAACACTCATTCACTCATTCCTGCTCAATCTGTTCTGCACAGGATTTAAGGTAGCTTACAGCAACACACACACACACACACACACACACACACTTACAAATAAAACCTCAGAAACAGGAAATGTATAAGATACATTTTAGGATGAAAAATAAAAACACAACCACAAGAGGTCAAATCTCAGTATAGGAAACCCCAAATGATTTGTTTTAGGCAAATATAAAAGTAGATGCTCAATACATATACTTAACTCTTTCTGGGCCTGAAATAGGAGGCTGTGGCCAGGAACATTTTGTGTTCTACACAGGTTCTGTTTATAATGTTATCTAACAGGATGCTTGACATTAAAATGCTTGCTGGCAACTTCAGATTTAGAACGCAGACTAGATTAACAAATAAAGTCCTACGGTCCACGTACACCACGGCTGACTATACATCACCACAGCATCAACTGATCCTGAAGTGCTCGAAGTGAAGAAGACTAGTGCCCTATGAGTGCAATGAGGCTCTGTCAGGCTACACAGAATTTTAATATATTTAACCGATCCAAGATATTTTAAGTTTTCTTCTAATGTAGTTGAGAATTATTTACGTATTACAAATCAATACTGACAACACATCGAGGATTTAGTAGAACATTTCCAGGGTAAAACAAATCGATTTCTTCTTTCTCCAGTATTGCCATCTTACCTCTTCCCAAAAGCACTGTGGTTTTGATCCACTTTACCTTTAATCCGAATCCCTATGCTTTACACTTTCATGATTTAAAAAGAAAAAAGTCAACATCCCTTTTTTCCTGAAATGATTTACCTTCAGTCATGCAGAATACTCGGAGAAAAGCCAGAAGCTGAGCAGAGATGGGCGGCTCCGTAAAATGCAACGCAAAAACGCTGGAACTGATAAAAGCAGAAAGCAAGATCAGTCACCCTGCTGCGGTTACCCACTTGCTCCAAAGTGAAGTCCCTTAAGTCTACAACACGTGTGTTTGTCCTCAAGGAGAGCTGGCCTGGAATGGGTCATTCCAGCTTCTCATCTAAACTGTGAGCACGATTTTCAGCCCTTGCAAAAGGCCACAGGCTGGGGTTAACGGAAGTGAACAGGCAGAACTGGAGTCCATCTTCGCCAGCTTTTCCTAGGGCCTAGCAGCTGTAATCTCAGGCTGCACACAATACATTCAAAAAATTAAACATACATATGGTTTAAAAAAAAATGTTAACAGTAATTTATGTTGAGTTCACACTTTAATCATTAATCAAATATTGACAAGTTCAATAAAAAAAGGTCTGGATAATCCATTTTCATTAAGAACGGTTCCTACATTCCCTGGAGAACTAATAAATCATAATTCCTGTCTTCTTTATCATTTTATACCTCAAATGCAAGACAATCTTAAAGAATTTAACTGGAAATTCTTGAAATCACTGAGGATCATGACTTCATTACAGAAACTAATGGTGGCAAAGAATTAAATGAAACAAATTGATCCAGGTCATTAACCTTTTCAAGGTGAAAGGCATGAATGATACGAAAGTACTTATTTAACTTAATGAGGATTTCAGGCCATATCCCCCAGAACTGACTGTGAATGTGCCCAATGACACAATTATGTTTGTCTGAAAACGCTGGTAAATCACCGAGTGTCGCCATGGCTTAAATTTGCTGTGCCACAGGGATAAAGGGATTAAGACAAACTACTGGAGAGAAGTTTTATTAACACACCAATTAAACACTATGCAACTGGAAATAGTTCAAGTACTGCAGGAAAGGGCCGACCAATGTTTTTCTACGTACGTGGGGATGCCGGCACGCGCCAAGACCTCAGCCTTCATGGCGTAGAGTCTGTCACTTTTACTCACTCCAAGCTTTATTTTCACTCTGTCATGTGAGTTATTGTCAAAGAAAAAACCACTGTGGATCACAAACTCTGCATT